ATATTCAGTGAAGCTTACATATTTTCAACAGAATTTCTACTAAGAAAAGAATTGCTAGATGTGATCAATAAGCCCTTTTAAACTCAAGGAGTTTTGATATTTTCTTCTCTCTCTCTGGTATCTTCAACTATAAATGGGAATTGTAAAGTGAGTCTCTGGCATGTGCCGGTAATCTCAGCTATAGGAAGGCACGGGCAGAAGGATCAGTGATTTAAGATCAACCCGAACTGCACAAGCTTATCTCAAAACAAAACCAACCAGCCAACAAACAAAAAAGAAATTATAATGCAAGAGATAATCTGGCCTATGGATATAGGTTAATGTTGGAAGTCTTACCTAGCAGGCAGGAGACTGTAGGTTCAATGTACAGTATACAAACAAACAAGCAAGAAACCCCTCTGCAAATCCCCCCAAGTAACAGCAGCAAACAGCAACAGCCTGCAGCTCTCTGCCCAGGAATCCAAATGTTTTATCTGTAACAAACAGCCCAGAAATCACCATGATTTTCACTGTGGAGACTCCTTTGGAGCTCTGGAGTTAATATGAAGATTATTTTAAATGGAAGATATTAAAGATACAGTAGATACAGGAGGAAAAATCTCGAGGCTTGGCTTATCTGACGGAAGCAGGAACTTCTGGGAACTGTGGCTACTATAAATCTCTTCAGGGGAGTTTCTGGCCAAGAAGGAAAGACCGCATACACCTGCATAAACAGACATTATCTCACACATTCTTATAGCCCCCTAGTTGGCCGGAAACCCATTCATCTTTCCTGAAGAAGCTCATTTGTTTGCCCTGTAAGAGCCTTTCTCCATCAGTCTCCCGCCTACCTGTGAGGCATCCACAACTCTAACTTTAAGCAGTTATTGAACCTGCCACTTCCTTTTTATATAGAAAGAAAATGTTTCTTTTCTTTCTTTTCCTTTTTTTTTTTCTTTTTTAGAGAAAAGATCTCATGTAGCCCAGGTTGGCATTGAATGCCTTATGTAGCTGAGGAGTTTTTCTGCCTCTTTTCTTTCTTTCTTTCTCTCTTTCTTTCTTTCTTTCTTCCTCTTTCTTTCTTTCTTTCTTTCTTTCTTTCTTTCTTTCTTTCTTTCTTTCTTTCTCTTTTGGCTTTTTTTTGAGACAGGATTTTATGTGTGTTTATGTGTGTGTGTGTGTGTGTGTGTGTGTGTGTGTGTGTGTGTGTGTAATCCTGGCTGTCCTGGAACTTGCTCTGTAGACTAGGCTGGCCTAGAACTCACAGAGATCCACCTGCCTCTGCCTCCTGAGTGCTGGGATTAAAGGTGCACACTTGCACTGCCCAGCTCCTGCCTCATTTTCAAAGTTCTGGGATAATAGGTGTAGGACACTAAATTTGCTTGGAAATATTCCACCCCCACCCCATTAATCTGACTTTTGTTAATTTAACTTGCAGTCTCTAGGTACTTCATAGAGGACCACAGAGAACATGTTTTTCTCTTATAGGAAAGTTAGACCTGGCCACAAGCCAGACTGCTGTCTCTAGTAATAGTCCAGGAAACCAAACAATATCTCTCATCTAAGCTTCAGAATGGCTAGAACCTAGCAACAGGCAGATACCTTAATTTTGTAGTTCCATTTTGGGATCACCCAGAGAAAGCCAAATATGTACCCCTTATCGTTACATAGGATGCTTTGCTCTGAGTCTGTCTTACTGTAGCTTCTCCATGCTCAGCGCCTATAGTCAGGGCACACATGAATTTCTCATTTGTTCCCTAAGTTTTCTCTTTCTCGCTCTAAACTTTTGCCAAAACACAAGCTAACTGCCTTGGTACAGTTAGCCTCAGAACTACTTTTGCTCTTCTTATTTGATTGCTCTTTATTTATTTTCACACTCATGAATTTCATTCCCACAATTTAGAAATATTTTTGGAACACCTTAAAGAGTAAAATAAATATTTACTTGTTATGATGCTTTCTATGTAGTTTCTATTTCTTTTAGCTCTTGACTGAGGTTTGGGAATTTTTGCTGGTGTTAGTACAAAAACTCTTATTTCAAGCAAATCAATCTTAAAAAACAGCAGGGAGATCAATAAGAAATATCTGCAAATAGGCCTCCTATTCTCTCAGTTTCTGAGGAGTCAGTCTCAATGCATCTCCATTGTATTTGTGCTGAATTTGGTTGTAAAGGAGATGAGAAAATCCAAATATAGAAACATTTCTCTGTGAGATTCAAGTGCTAAATTTTCTCATCCTTTACCTCCTCTTCCCCTTCCTCTTCCTCTTCCTCTTCCTCATTTTCCTCTTCTTGCTCTTCTCTTCCTTCTTCTCCTCCTCCTTTGAGAGTCTCTCTTTGTGGCTCTAGCTCTCCTGGGACTTGCTGTATAGACCAGGGTGGCCTTCAAGTCATAAAGATCCACTTGTGCCCCATTTGTGTCTGCCACGCCAGTGCTGGGATTAAAGGCATGCTCCTTTATTCTTTATTCAAGAAAGTCAAGCCTCAGAAATTTTGTCAATTTTTAAATTCAAAGCAACATTTGTAAATCTTCTCTGTCCCTAAGTGCACACATGGCCTCTGTCATTACCACTGAAAAGAAAACAGAGTAAATCTCAAGCTAATTAATGCTGTGACAATTGAAATGTCATAAGAGGCTGGAGACATAGCTCAGTGGTTGAATGTGTTTCTCCCATGAGCCAGGCCCTGGGTTTATCTTTTATACTGAGAAAGAAAGAGAGAGACAGAGACAGACAGAGAGAGACAGAAACAGCAAACCATTACACACTAGATGGATTGAAATTTTACAAAAAGGTTTATTTGTATTTTAAATTGTGTGTGTGTGTGTGTGTGTGTGTGTACTCAAAGAGGTCACAAGAGAGCATTCGATCTCTAGGAACTGAAGTTATAGATGGTTGTGAGCTGTGCCAGACATGGGTACTGGAAAATGAATTAGTGTCCTCTGGGAAAGCAACATTCACTCTTAACTGCCATCTCTTCAGCCCCTAGTTTAACATTTTTTCTTATGTTCAGTGTCACAATATTGGGAAAGAACCCTTTCCGGCTGCCCTCAGTCTCAGCGATTTCTCCTTCCTTTTTCTCCCCCCCCACTTTCTCTCTGGTTTTTTGTTTGTTTGTTTTTCTTTTTTTGAGATATGTTGTATGTATCCCCGGTTGGCTCGAAACTTGACACGTGGACTAAGCTAGATTCACAGTAATCTACCGCATTCCAAGTGCTACAATTAAGGATGACCATCAGCCATTCTTTGAAAAAAAAAATTATCTATTATCTTACATACATGGATGTTTTGTATGCATGCTTGCCTGTGTGCCACATGCATGCCTGGTGCCAGAGGAGCCCCAAAGAGGGCCTCAAATCTTTTGGGACTGGAGCCACATATGACGTGAGTCAGCACGTGTGATCTGAACCAGAATCTTCCAGAAGAGCAGCCTGTGCTCTCAACTGCTGAGCCATCTCTTCAGCACCTGCTTCAGTCACTCCTCAGTGGAGCTATTGCGGATAGACTTGACCATTGAACTGGAGTTGGAAGGTAAGCAACAGGCATGGCTAGAAAACATGGGAAATGTCTCTGGGAATATGGTATGGCTGATGAAGTACTTTCAGAGTGTGCATCACACCTGGGGTGATGTCTCCTTGCTGAAACCCTGACACACAGAGGCAGAAGCAGGAAGGACGAGAAGTTCAAAGTCATCCTCTGCTAGCATACAGGTTTGGGGCCAGCTAGGAATACAGGCTAATGGTAGTAATTGGTCACCTACTTCTGGTGCCCTGGTCACATGCAGGTTCCATTAGAGGAGATCACTCACGTTCTGACTGCTGTCCTTTTCTATGCCATCCCCATGGTTGTGAAGCTCAGAAGGCTGCATCATTTGTGATAAAGCTAATTAGGGGAGGGCGGTGGAGTGCACAGCCCTGAAAAATATTCCTGTTTTCTTATGAGTTCATCCGGCGTATGAATGTGCACGTCTGCTTTTAAAGTCATGGGAATTACCACCTTAAGCAGTTGATCTCTCTCTCTCTGGTGTAAAGCATAGCTGCTTGTCTCTGTCATCACAATGTGAGGCCGACCATAGTTCAGCCAGCGCACACAGCTTTACTGAAGGGTTTCAGCCTGATTCCCAGTTTCCTCAGGCCCAGTGCTTTAAGGAATTAGCAGCTTATGTGTACACAGTACAGAAAGGGGCTTTGTTTGAGGCTTAGAAGGCAATAGCTTATGTATCTTTGAAATGGCCAGAATATTTGAATAAACGAGTTTTACAGGAACTTGCTAAAGTAAAATATCAGAGGCACCCAGAGCAACAGTAGCAGCTTGGAGAGACTCTAACGGTCCCTCTTTAATTTTGGGCCTGATACCTGGCAACATTTGGAGCTATAAATAGAGTGTGTGTGGGAAGCCAAAGAGATATCCTGCTGCTGTCTGAATACATTGAATGAGAAGGACTTTGGAAAGAAGAAGGAAAAAAATCCCATTTAGAAATGAATTAGGGGTTCATTGTGCTGAAGGTTTTGTAATTAAAACATGCTTAATAGGGTTTGCAGGATGTCTTGAAACTGTGAGAGGGGCTGTGGAAATCTGCTTAATCTCTCTACCATTAAAACGGGATTTAAAGCCCCGGGACCCAAGGCTGTAAACTTAGGGAAAGAAACCATGTATCCTCTTTCAGGTTTATTCAATGCTCAATTCTCCAGCGTGGGGTGGGTGGGGGAGGGTTGCAGAGGGGTTCGCACAAAGAAGACAGAGAGCGTTGAAATGTTGCCAACTGGGTCAAGGAGAGGATGTTATTAGAATTGGTAAAGTTTAACTGATAGCCAAAGAGCAAAACCGCCTTATGGGGACGGTTAAACGTGTTGCTCGGCAAATAAAATGAAATCTCTGCCTCCTTCACAATTGGTTCTTATGTCTCTCATAGATCTCTTGATCAAATATAGAGGATTTTGGGGGTTGGAGCGATGGTTAAGTACACTTGCTGCTCTTCCGGAGCACCGCAGTTTGATTTTCAGCACCCACTTCAGCTGACTCACCACCGTCTGTAACTACAACTTCTTCCAGGGGGTCTGATGCCTCCGACATCTGAGGCTGCTTGGACATATCCACATGCAGACGTACACCTACACATAATTAAAAATAAATCTTGGACTCTGCAAACGGTTTGAAAGTGTTACAGGTTAAATTCTACATGGTTAGAAAAGATCCCTGCCACTCTGTTGCATAACAGCCCAGAAAATTCAAGATGGTATGGAGGCAGAAATAACAATGCTTGGTACACGAATCCTCTGTCTGCGTACCTGAAGGTAAAGAGCACAGAAAGAAAAAGTGATGCAGGCAAGGCTCAGCCCTCAACCTTCTTGCCATTGACTTCATGATCTCCAAAACCACTGTTGCGCTTTTTGTCAAGGTGGCAATTACCTGAGAGAAACCATCCAAAAAGGAGAAATAGGGGCTGAAGGGGTGGCTCATTGCCTAAGAGTGCTTGCTGATCTTCTAGAGGACTGGAGTTTGGCTCCCAGGACTCATACTGGACAGCCACTACTTGTAAATCTAACCCTAGGAGCTCTGACACTTTCTTCTGGCCTCCTAGAGCACCCCAAACATGTATGTACACACACACACACACACACACCCTGCAAACTACAGATAAATAAAAACGTAAAGAAGGGAGGACTGGTTTTCTTATGGTGTCAGAGTTTTCATCATACTCACATGGCTGTCTGTCTCAGGACCTGTGATTAGGGAGCATGGTGAAGGGCAGGTAGAGCAGACATGCTCATCTCCTGGCAAACAGGGTCAGGAAGGGGACAGGACCAGGATGCATTTTTTTTCAGAGGCACATCACTAATGACCTGGTTTTTCCTGGTTCCTACCATGTGTTAAGAGTGCCATCATCTCTGGTTCAGCAGTTAAGTGTGCATACTCTTTTTAAAGAAGACCCAAGCTTGATTTCCCAGGACGTATGTTGGGTGTGAGTGCACGTGTCCTTGGAAGCAAGAGGCATGGGATATCCTGGAACAGGAGTTAGAAGTGATAGTAAGGTGCCTGACTTGGGTGCTGGGAACTGAGCTTACGCTTTTCTGCAACAGCACTTCCCACTTTTAAACACTAAGCCCTCTCTTGGCCTTCATTACAATTTTAGCATATGTGCTATCCACACGAGCAAAGCACAATGGTTCTTAAATGTCATTCTGAACCAGTACAACACAGCAAACAACTGATTATAAGCCCAGATGTTGAGGTCCAGTGTCATAACAGGCTCAGAAACAATACTGGTGGACTTAAAAGTCTGAGAGACATTTATTTAGTGTGTGGAGTGTGTTATTTTGTTAGTGTATATACAAACTGCTCATGTCCTCCAGAGGATTTTCATTGTTTTCCCTAAATTACTGTTTTTTTTAAATCAATTTATTAAAACCATCGTTTTCTTAAAAAAAGTGCCATAATCTTATAAATCCATGAAGACACCGTGACCAAGACCACTTGTAGAAGAAAGAGTTTATTTGGAGCTTACAGTTTCACGGACTTAGAGTCTATGTCCATCATGGAGGAGAGCATGGCAGCAGGCAGGCAGGCATGGTGCTGGAGCAGTAGCTGGAAATTCATACCTTGAGACACAACTATCAGGAAGAGAGAGAGAGAGAGAGAGAGAGAGAGAGAGAGAGAGAGAGCGCATGTGAGAGAGCGCTAAGTGCTAACTGGGGATAGTGTAGGATTTTGAAACCTTAAAGCCCACCCTTAGGGCCATATTCTCTCAATCCTTCCCAAACAGTTCCATCAACTGGGGATCGAGCATTCAAATATGTGAGCGTATGGGGGCCATTCTTATTAAAACCATCACAGAATCAATCCATTGGTAATGTCAAAGTCCCCAGGGGCTTTCCCAAAAGAGCTGCAACACAGTCCTTAACACAGAATCATTGAGTGATGTTTCTTATTCAAATATCTTCGTCTTCTGAAGGTGCTGAGCAAGAAGGATCCCTTCCAAGGGCTTAGTGTGGTGTTGGTACTTAAGCACTCTTAACTGCCTCTCTTCCTTTGGAATAGTAAGAGACACTATTGTAGTCCAGGCTTGCCTGGACACGTACCATGTAGCTCAAGCTGGCCTCAAACTCACAGTGATGCTTTTGCCTCAGTGTACCATCTATTGGCATTATAGGAACAACACCATTAGTTCACAATTTTTTATCAGATGAATTAATTCAACTAACTCTTTTCTGCCTTATTATTTTAATTTTACTTTAATGTCAAGTGAGGGACGAAGAATAGTATTCTACCTTCCAAGTGAAAACTTCTAGTCTCAAGTGTAAGAGTAAACTTAAGTATACCAAAGTCTTAACCATTTTTTAAAATTTACTAATTTTGTTTCTTTTTTTTATAATTTTCTTATTTTTACTTACTTTGCTTATTCTTATTTTATGTGTATGAGTGCTTTGCCTGCATGCACTTATATGTACTACATGTGTGCCTGGTATCCATGAGGTCAGAAGAAGACCTCATGGATCAAATGCTTCAGTGTAAGGCCTCAAACGCAAAGAAAGCTAGAGGGAAACATATGCAAAACATTTCAAGTTATAGACATATAACTTGTACTTTTTCCCCCCCAAAGTACAAAAATAAACTTCATTTTGTAAAATATAATTTCGGAAAGAGATTTGCTGTAGTTTGAATGAAAATGATCCCCATGGGCTCATATATTTGAATGCTTGGTCCCTAGTTAATGGAACTGTTTGGGAAGGATTAGGAGGTGTGGCCTCATTGGAGGAGCTGCCCCTCTCCCCAAACCCAACGTTCCCAGTCTCTCTCTGCCTCATGGCTGTAGATCAGACATAAGCTCTCAGCTAGTGCTTTGACAGTGTCTGCTTGGCTGCTGCTATGCTCTCTGTCCCACCAAGACAGCCATGGTCTCACTCCTTAAACTGTAATTCCCATTAAACTGCTTCCGGAAGTTTCCTTCCTCACAGTGGTTCTTCAGAGTGACATAAGTGTAACTAAGATAGGAGCACAGGCTAGAAATTTTCGAAAACAGAAACCAAAACTCCAGTAGCATAGAAAAATAACCCAAGTATTGACAAAGAAGATTGAATGCAATGGAAAAGGTTTTGTACAGAAAAGGAAAGTGAAGAGTGAAGAGACAACCTACATAATGACGAAAAAAAAGTCTTGCCTGTTATGCAATGGAAATGATACATGGAATCTATAGAGAACTCCAAAACACAACACAACACACACACACACACACACACACACACAACTGGGCTAATGAATTGAAAAGGCAAGTCTCAAAGAAAAAAAAAAAAGCACAAAAACATTCAACATTCTTGGAGTGTCATTTAGCCCAGGTTGGCCTCAAAATTCTTATATAGCTAAGGGTAACCTTGAACTTCTGACCCTCTAGCTTTCACTTCCCAAGGATTGGGGTTCTAGGCATGAAGTACCAAGCCTGGCTTTCTTCTCTTTCATGTCTCATTTTTCAGTTTTCTTCTTTCTTTCTTTTTTTTTCTTTTTGGGCAGAACATCATGATGGCAGAAATAAATGGTAAAACAAGTACTTTATTTGATGTTCAGGAAACAGACTGGGGAACTCAGGAAGAGACCAGAGAAAAACATAGCCTTCGAGTCTGCCTGCAGAGACCTACTTCTTCCAGCTATGCAGCATCTCTTAATGATGTCATCATATTACAAATCCTTCGGGAGACTGCTCCGTTAGCCAGGTCAGAGCCCTTATGATCTAACAGTCTCTGGAAACATCTTCACAGATACACCGGGAAGAGTAGCTTACTAGCCCTGTAGCTGTTTCTTAATCCAATTAGTCAACAACTGAGATGAACGCTATACTTCAGCTTGGCTTTCCTTGTTCCTTTGAAATAAAAGGGATTTTGGGGAGGACTTCTAATGTTCTGGTGCACATTTTTTTTTTTTTTAATTCTTAATGAATGAGGAAGAGTCAGAATGTCCCTCTGTTTATTTCTACGAAGGGGGTGGGGGAGATTTTCAATTCCTAAGCCCAACACAGGTGATTTTTTTTTTCTCTCCTCATCTCGATAGCTGAAAACCGCCAGCTTTAAACCATCCAAGCATTTCAATCAGGACTCATTTTTCATGGAGCTGAAACTATTGGTTTTCTTACAAAACTTTTTCAACTGAAAGACTTTTTTTTTTTTCCTTTTATAGCAATAGCAGTTCACAAATCCATAGATTTATTTAAGCACAAGGACAGTGCTAAGAATACAATACTAAATTATAATGAAAACAGAGGCTTGCACCTAAGTTGTTGATGCTTATCTCACTGTGGCTCACTTTAACAGGATCTTGAATGCCCTCGGAGATTAGGCCATCTTGAGGTTTAGGAAAGATGCTCCCCTCCTCCTTTATTTGTCACTTTATAGTTGTAATAATATCTTTTAGAATTACATTTATTTATTATTTAGTGTGTGTATGTGTGTTTGTGTGCATGTGCTACAACACATTTGTGGAGGTCAGAGGACAACTTGTAAGAGTCAGTTCTGTCCTTCCACTATGTGGGTCCAAGAGTTCAAACTCAGGTTGTCAATTGTGGCATCAAGTGCCTTAATCCATTTAGCAATCTCACTGGTCCCCTAAGAGTACCTTGATCATTACTTCTCTTTCCTTCCTTCCTTCCTTCCTTCCTTCCTTCCTTCCTTCCTTCCTTCCTTCCTTCCTTCCTTCCTTCCTCCCTCCCTCCCTCCCTCCCTCCCTCCCTCCCTTCTTTCTTTCTTTCTTTCTTTCTTTCTTTCTTTCTTTCTTTCTTTCTTTCTTTCTTTCTTTCTTTTTCTTTTCTTTTATTTCTTTCTTTCTTTTTTATTTTTTTGAGACAGGGTTTCTCTGTGTAGCCTTCCTTGTCCTGAACTTGCTTTGTAGACCAGTTTGAGACCAGGTTGGCCTTGAACACACAGACTCTGCCTGCCACTGCCTCCTGGAGTGTGGGGATTAAAGGTCTGTACCACTAAGAGCTGTTCTGCTCTGCCAAGATTGGGTAGTGAAGGTGACCTCAACACAGTATGTGAATGTCTGCATAAGTGAGTTATAGAAGCAAAAACAAAAACAAAAAACAAAACAAAAAACAATTAGTCAAACCATAACAAAGAAGATGGTCACAGTTGTACATTTCTGGTTGGGGATCACTGAGTCAGGATTATGGGAAATTTTACCTTCCAGGGCCTAAAGTCAGAGATAAATGGCTAATGGATACCAAGATGGATATTTAGCATAAAATGGAGTTTCTTTAGCCATCATAGTCATATGCTTGTAGTCCCACTTGGGAAGAGACAGGAACAGAAGTCATTCTTGTCTACATAGTGAGCTTGAAACCAGCCTGGGCTACATAAAAACTCCACCCCAAAGGAAAACTCTACCCTGAAAAGAAAGCAGTCACATTGGATAATGAATAATAATAA